TGTTTATTTTCATTGTATATACATGTATACAAAACAAATTTCGTAAGAAGAAGTAGGCACGATAATACATACGCGAATTGGATTTATTTCAATATTTTGACGTTTATATACATGCATATATTTCTATTCAAATGATTTTCTGAATGAATGAATGTTTTTCGATTCATATTCGACTTTCTTTGAATTTTGTATCTATCGTGAATTTATTTTAGAATTACAAGATGAGCATATGACACACGTTGTTGAAAGAGAGCCGGACGGAGAAAAGGTTAAAAGCAATGTGTGAGTGAAACGATTTTCTAGGAAGTTTTTATGTTGGTTGTTTACACAACAACGTTGCATTAAATATATATGAAAAAATGGGTGAAATGAAATTCGGTACCCATGACGGAATTAAGTCCGAACAAAAATATAATGCAGTAGTAAAGCAGATACAGGTAAAAAACAGGTTAAACTACTAATGTTTTTGTATCCTAATGTCTCTATTTCCCAATATTAATATTGAGACATTCGTTTTTAGGATAAATGGAAGCTAGTTCCTGCTTTCTTGAAAGGAAAAGGTCTTGTAAAGCAACATATTGATTCTTTTAATTATTTTATAAATGTAGAAATAAAGAAAATAGTAAAAGCAAATGAGAAAGTACTAAGCGATGCTGATCCTTTATTCTATGTAAAGTAGGTATCGTTACTTACGTATATTTACTTTGTTATCTTAATATATTTCATATGTATTTCTTTTTAAAGATATTTAAATGTACATGTTGGTACACCAGATGTAGAGGAAGGTTTCAATGTAACACGTTCTACAACTCCACATGAATGTCGATTGAGAGATTTAAATTATTCTGCTCCAATTACGGTAGATATTGAATATATCAGAGGACATCAACCAATAATTAGAAATAATTTATTGATTGGAAGGTATGAAGTTTAATGAATGTATTAAATGTAATAGTGATTAAATTAATTATTACTTTTTAGAATGCCTATTATGTTAAGAAGCTCAAATTGTGTATTAAATGGAAAATCCCATTTTGAATTAGCGAAAATGAATGAATGTCCACACGATCCAGGTGGTTATTTTATAATAAATGGACAGGAGAAAGTAATTCTTATACAAGAACAAATGTTGAGGAACAGAATTATTTTAGAGGAAGATAACAAAGGCTGTATTGTAGCATCTTGTAACAGTTCTACTCATGAAAGAAAAACAAAAACAAATATTGTAGGCAGAGCAGGCAGATATTACATGAGACACAATATATTTCAGGATGTAAGTAAATACTTTATATAACAGCTCTCTTAAAGAAAGGATAAAATACATTTTTTGTTTATTTATATACTTTTTATTTCAAGGATATACCAGTGACAATAATCTTTAAAGCAATGGGAATAGTAAGTGATCAAGAAATTATGCAACTTATTGGTACAGAAGAAGAATTTATGAAAAAGTTTGCACCTAGTTTAGAGGAGTGCCATGTTTTAAATGTCTTTGCTCAAAATCAAGCATTAAGGTAAACAATTCATTTTCATTAAATCTTATTATTAAGGTTACAACTACTAATTATATGAAATGTTGCAGATACCTTAGTAACAAAAGAAAACAAAAAAGGTATTCGGTAATAAAAGCTAGTGTCACAGATGAAATGAAGGATATACTCGCAACTAATGTTTTGTCACATGTTCCTGTTAGTAATTTAAAATTTATTTCTGCTACTATAAAACATCAATGATGAATGTTACTATAATATTCCATATTACAGGTAGTAGACTTTAATTTTAAAATGAAAGCAACATATATTGCTTTAATGATCCGTAAGGTCATGAAAGCCCAGTCTGATGGCAAACTTGTGGATGATCGAGATTATTATGGTAATAAGAGACTGGAATTGGCTGGTTCCTTATTGTCTTTGATGTTTGAAGATTTATTTAAAAGATTTAATTGGGAGGTAACATGATACATGATAATATTAAATGATTTTCTTTAGTAATTATAGATAATGTTGTACTTAGTAATATTATATCTTCAGTTAAAACAAATTGCTGACAAGAACATCCCAAAAATTAAAGCTGCACAATTTGACATTGTAAAACATATGAGACAGGACCAAATTACAAATGGATTAGCTTTTGCTATATCTTCTGTATGTAAATAGTTCCATGTTAATATAAAATCTTTTACAAAAAGGCACTTATAAACGCCAATTTGTGTAAAAAAAAAATTATCACCTTGTAGGGCAATTGGACCATCAAACGATTCAGAATGGAACGTCACGGTGTGACTCAAGTGCTGTCTAGACTGTCTTATATTTCGGCACTAGGTATGATGACAAGGGTTAACTCACAATTCGAAAAAACTAGAAAAGTATCTGGTCCACGATCTCTGCAACCATCACAATGGGGAATGCTGTGTCCTAGTGATACTCCTGAAGGAGAAGTGAGTATTACATATAAATTTGTTAACAAATGTATGCGCACACCTGAAATTATTTACAAAAATAATTCCGTATAGGGTTGTGGTTTAGTTAAAAATTTGGCTCTCATGACGCATATTACCACAGAAATTGATGAGGAACCAATTGTGAGATTAGCATTCAATTTAGGAGTGGAAAATGTTAATATTCTTGGAGGAGAAGAGATCAATAATAGACATGTTTATATGGTTTTTTTAAATGGTAATATTCTGGGAATAGTCAAGAACTATCAGAGACTGGTAAATGTTTTCCGATTGCTACGTAGAAATGGCCTCATAAATGGCTTTGTCTCCATATATACCCAACATCAGCATAGGTAGAATTTGCGTACATTTGTTATTAACATATATTTCAACATTTTCATTTTGTAATTACAATACCGTTTACGTTTAGATGCATTCAAATCAGTTCTGATGGAGGGCGGTTATGTAGACCATATATTATTGTGCAAAACGGGCAACCCCTTGTACAAGAAGAGAATATAAAATTACTCGAGCAAGGTGTACGGAGTTTTGAGGATTTTTTACAAGAGGGTCGGTACATAGAGAATTAATTCTATATTTATTTTCCACGATAATTTACGAACATTTCTTTATGTCTTCGATAGGTTTGATCGAGTACTTAGATGTAAACGAAGAAAATGACAGTTCCATTGCATTCAATGAATCGCACGTTACTCATAAAACAACTCACTTAGAAATTGAACCGTTCACGTTGCTCGGAGTTTGTGCTGGATTGGTGCCGTATCCACATCATAATCAAAGTCCGCGAAATACGTATCAATGCGCTATGGGTAAACAGGCAATGGGAACTATTGGTTATAATCAGCGCAATCGTATTGACACATTGATGTACAATTTAGTATATCCTCAAGCACCTATGGTAAAGTCTAGAACAATAGAATTGATAAATTTCGATAAATTACCTGCTGGTCAAAATGCGACGGTAGCTGTCATGTCGTACAGTGGCTATGATATTGAGGATGCTCTTATTTTAAATAAGGCATCTATTGATAGGGGTTTCGGAAGATGTTTGATTTATCGAAACGCCAAGTGCACTTTAAAGAGATACGCTAATCAAACGTACGATCGGATAATGGGTCCATTGCTAGATTCAAATACAAAGAAACCTGTTTGGAAACATGATATTATTGATAGCGATGGCATTGCTGCACCTGGTGAAATGGTAGAAAATAGAAAGGTTCGTTTGTATACATTAATACTAAGTACTGAACAAACTCAATTTTAGATTTACTTACAATTTCTTTCTATTTTGTTTTGTACAAACCTTTCTTCCTTAATAGGTGATGGTAAATAAATCGTCACCGTCTGCAAATATCGGTCCAGTAAACTCTGGCAATGTACAAACACAGACCGAATACAAAGATGTTCCAGTTGTCTTCAAAGGTCCAGTGCCAGCATATGTCGAGAAAGTAATGATTTCCAGTAATGCAGAAGATGCGTTCTTGATTAAATTGTTATTGAGGCAAACCCGCAGACCGGAAATAGGTGATAAATTTAGTAGCCGGCATGGACAGAAAGGAGTAACTGGTATGTTCTTCAATTTGTTGCTTGTGAACAAAATATATTGTTTTATTAATTATACCTGTCCATAGGTTTGATCGTGGAACAGGAAGATATGCCATTTAACGATTACGGTATATGTCCTGATATGATTATGAATCCGCATGGTTTTCCATCCCGTATGACAGTCGGAAAATTGATAGAATTACTTGCTGGAAAAGCTGGAGTTGTAAAAGGACAATTCCATTACGGCACAGGTATATTCATAATGAATTTCTTCTCAGTAGTTATTATTACGATAATTTATAATTGCATAATTATTTAATAGCTTTCGGGGGATCAAAAGTGGAAGATGTTTGCGAAGAACTAGTAAAGCACGGGTACAATTATTTAGGCAAAGACTTCTTTTATTCTGGAATCACAGGAGAACCATTGCAAGCGTATATTTATTCCGGACCAGTGAGTTGATAATATTCTACTGTTTTATTAAACTTTATTGTTTCATTATATTACACAAATAATGTTTAAAAACACAGGTATATTATCAAAAATTGAAGCACATGGTTCAAGATAAAATGCACGCCCGTGCTCGTGGTCCAAGAGCAGTATTAACGCGTCAACCAACCGAAGGGCGTGCAAAAGAGGGGGGTTTACGTTTAGGCGAGATGGAACGCGATTGTTTGATCGGATACGGTGCAAGCATGATGTTGATAGAACGGCTTATGATATCTAGCGATGCGTTCGACGTAGACGTATGCAACAAGTGTGGCCTGATGGCATATAGCGGCTGGTGTCACAGTTGCCGTTCCAGTTCATGCGTTTCCACAATTTCTATGCCTTACGCTTGCAAATTACTTTTCCAAGAACTTCAATCTATGAATATCGTACCCCGTTTAACATTAAAAAATTATTGCGAGTAATTTATACATTTTCAAATAAGGATTAGAAATTACTATAACTTATATATGTAAATATATTTTTTATACATATAACTTCAATATTTAATTTAACATTTTTCTGATTTAAAGAGGTTCAGCAAGTAGATGCACTTCCGGATTTTCTATGTGTTTCCTGCTTTGTATTAAGCGTAATTCAATTTTTCTTGCAGGCTGTGATTCCTCGTCTTGGCATTCTAATGAACATTTATAAAAAGGGTTATTTTTTGTATACTTTGCTTGAAAATATAATTTAAAATATTTAAAATGAAACAGTACTGTTTGAAAGTTCAAAAGTTTTGAGTAAGACACTGTGTAAAGTGTTCACAGTTTTCGCAAAGGCGTCTTCCATATTATCTTGCAAGTACGTATGAGCCAAAAATAACGCGGCGAAAAGGTCTCCCGAACCAGTAAAATTAGTTGGTATTTTTGGAATATCAATTTTTATTAATGAATTATCTGAAATCAAATTAGATTTATTTATAGACATTCACTATGGTTGGTATACTGTTATGTATTTTTGAAGTCATATTGATTAATTCATTACCTTTTGCTGTGCTGCTTATTGCTGTCAATTTACCATTAATTTCTGTTGATGAAACACTTATTATTTTAGGGCCAGCTTGATGTAACTTTTTTATAGCATATTTCAATTCATTTATTGTGCTTATATTTACATCAGTTAGCAACCTAAAATTATTAATATTTCGTTACTTCTGTTTTTATTTATCTTTGGTGAAGTTATAATAATAATATTGAATGTACTCTAATTCATATTGATTTGGCACTATAATATCAGCTAGTGGTACTATCTCTGTCTTGTAAATTTCTTTTAATGCTTCAGGAACATACATTTTTCCATTGTCACCCATAACAGGATCACAAACTTTAACAAAAACAGTCAATAGTTAATATAACTTGAATATCATTTTGATATCTTATATTTACCATATATAAGATTAGGATTCTTTTGTTTTAAAGCTTGAATTACTCCTGTAACACTTTTCAAGAAGGAAACAGAACCAATATATCCAGTGAGTAAATGTGTGTAATTATCTAAATTATTTTGTGCTAAACCATCCACCAGATCCTCTGAAAAGTAATTATTAAAATTAGACATTTATAAGCAAATTTTTCAAGAAATTTAAACTTTTCATCTTTCATATTTAAACAAAAATTTATTGTTTTTACCTAAGTCTTTATCATTTAATATCTGACCCTTGACAACCTTGTATCCAGTATGATTAGATAATTGAACAGAATTAATTGCATCTACTTCAAAACCTAACAACTGAATGAAAGAAAAGTATAAATTATTGTGATCTTATTGTCTATAATACCAGTTACATATTATATAAAAAAAATTAATCCTTCAACTATTTATCAAAATAAAATACAATTAACTCTAGATTAATTCTAAATACAATGAATTCCAGAGATCACTGATATAAAGGTCAACAATAAGCTTTGAAAAATTTTATAATTTTACAGAGTGTGTTTTGTTTACCTGTAGTGGAAATATTGCACTTTTATTACCCACGTAACCAGATACCACATGACTCTGTATCGAAAGTATACGTGGTGTTTTTTCGGCGCACATCTCGATTCGCTGATGCACAGAGAAATTCGATGCACGATTTATTCTATGTTGCATATGGTATAGAGTATTCTTCCATGAAGACACTTGGAAGGGATTAATTGGTCAGAGTGGAAGGAGGTATACGTATGTCATCCATTCTCAAATAATAGTTTTTAACTGTTTAAGTTCTTATCACATTCGTAAATACTGATACGAGAGTAGGAGTGGCTAACCCAGTCGCTCCGCCTGTTTCACTTTTGCGCTTCCATACCACTTTCTAGCATTCTATCAACTTGTACATGCGGCTGTTTGACCAATATCAAAAATACGTATGAAAAAAATTAGAGCTAATAAACTTTAAACAATGGTGGGACCATGGGGTACAGTAAAGCCGTAAAACAGACATATTTATCTACTGTTTTCATCTAAGGAACAGTACATATGGGAGTAAGAAAAACAAAGATAGTTGATTTGGTAGCGCCATTTAGCGGAGTCAATCTGGTACTATTTGGCTAAAAGTTTGAGCATTCTCATGATAGATGACGCCATCAAATTAATTATCTCTGTCCTTCTCCCTCTCATATATCTACTATTCACCTTTCATGTTAGTGCCAGTTGTCGATGGGTTAAAAGTGCACAGGGGCAAGGGAAGGCATCCAATCGTCGCGCTTAGCCTAATTGTCAACCCCTTGGCCGACGATTTCTTTCTGAACTCTGATCGATACGGCTACTTTGTCATTAATAATTTATTGGAAAAAGAGAAAAATTCTAAGCATATGTTATACCTATATTTCCTTTTAAGTATAATAGTTGATTACAGAGGAATAATATTTACTTTGAATTCGAATGAATTGAGTAATATATCAAAGACCAATAACATAGTGGCTTGCAAACTACCTAGGGTCTTTTTTCTCATCCCCTAGTAAGCTTAAGTTACCCTCTCCACGTGTATTTTTCACCTGTGTATTGAACACTTCTTCATAAAGTCGCTCATATACAGTTTCAGCAACTCCTGCAGTAAACGTATAGGGGAACCACTGATCTAGAATCACTAGTTTGAGGAGAAGCAGTCCAATACCCCTGGTTTAGATCAGTGAAGGAGTATTATACATTTTTGGTCAGACTTATCGTGATTTAAGTATAGACAGATACAGTCCTATTTAATGCAAAGCGAACTTATACAAAATTTGTCATGTGATTCGACTCATCACCATGATTATTGTACGCTACTTTAATGTTAAATTAAATTAAAAATAAATGTTTAACAAAAGCATAGTAAGGTAAATTTTTTATTTTACATACTTGACAGTAAAGAAATCGTATATTAGATAAATCAATAAAATTGTTAAATAATTCATCTTTTTTACTATTGATTAATCAAATGATAAATCTGTAGAATAGAAATAAAATGTACCGATTGAGTAGTACTCAAAAACTACTATACAAAGTTGGTGGTTCATCTATGTTCATGTTGCCTCGTGATTTGTTTTGTGCAGCTAGAAAAAGTATGGCGACGTGGGAAGGCGAAAAATTCCAGGAATACGAAAATACCGACGATATCGAGGGAAATTTTGATAACATCCTCGTAACGCATGACCTCCAGGATTGCCTTGACGATAGCTTAGACTTAACAAATTTCAACAGAGTTTACGAACAAGGTGCCATATTCGATTACGAAAAGTATTCTGATGATGATACTCCTATTGACGAAAGGCTACCTAGTGACAACACCACAGAGTAAGATTACTTAAATTTTCTATATCTTGTCTTTTTGACATTAAGTAAAATGAATATCCCCACTATCTGCCCTCTATTATGAACAAAGAAGAAAAAAAGAAGAGTGATAACGATTCATAATCTATTTATTTACATAGCAAGCGGTATTTCGTATCCCAACCTTATAAGGATATAACGCTTTTTGAAATTAGAGCCCTATTTCTCGGTTTTATGTTTTGTATACTCTAATCGAATTTAAAATAAAAGTTTTCAGTATTTTCTGTACATGCTAATCAAGTTTATTTCGTCAAATAGAATGGTGTAATACATATAGAATTATAGTCTCATTGAATTTATACTAAATGTAAATTTTATTATTATTGTTGTATGTCATATAATTAACGTTGTAAGTTTAACAGTTTTCGATTATTATTCAAAAAGTTTTTATTTAAATATTTCGTGTATGTTTTATTAATTTAAGGACATATTATTTTAACATTAGCTTTTTATTTGTTCTCTGTTATATACTACTTTGTTTGAAATATATGAGTGCAATGTTGAGGCATATAAATTTAGCTTAGATTTAGTCAGAAACAACAATACATTCAACTAGATGTTAGTCATACTTTGTTCTTATATATTGTTTACACTGGTAAAATTAGTGTGTTTGTGTGTCAAAACATTGAGTTCATATTTCAGAAAACAACATTATATATATAGAGATTAGATATACCTAATACAAAATTTTATGTTATAAATGTATAAATAACTTCTTGTTATAGATCACTTCATCATGCAATTAGTCCCCATGAGATTTATATGCGAATTCATTCTGGCCATGATGATTTATTATCAACTGAATCTGCACATGCAACTATTACCATTGAAAGCAAAGTTTCGGACAGCAGTCAAAAACATATTGGCAGATATACTTGTGAATATGAGGGTTGCAATAGAACATATAGCACAGTTGGAAATTTACGAACTCATATGAAAACTCACAAAGGTAAGATTTATATATTAAATATATAATAGAGCCAAATACATTTCATTACATAAAACAAAATTCAGTGTTGAGCTTCTATAGCATTAACATTTTAACTATGGATCTAATGAAATAAATTTTTTAATCATTTTCATTTAACTTATACAATTGAAAATAAAATTCTATGCTTTGCATGATGTGCTTATCTGTCTAAAGTATAACACCTACTAATTTGTCTTCATCCATTTGTGCATTCCAAGAATAAAGGAGGCAAGGTGAGTTTGTGAAATGTTACTGTTATTGTTGCTGAATGTTGTGTTCTGACATATAAGTATTATGTGCTTGTGTTTTATGAAAGCTCTTCATATACACTTTTATTCGTTATAAAGTCATCAATGCTGGTATAAAGGGATCGCTTCGACCTGCATGGCTTTCAGATACCGCAAGCAATAGATAGTCCAGCGAACTTTTTATGTGGAGGGAATTCTCAAAACTTTCAGGCGAGTATCGATTTAAATGCGCAGAACCAAGTTGTGGCAAGGCCTTTCTCACGTCGTACAGCCTAAAGATTCACATTAGAGTACACACTAAAGTAAAACCCTTTGAATGCAATCACAAAGGCTGCGAGAAAGCATTCAATACCCTTTACAGACTGAGAGCTCACCAAAGACTTCACAGTGGCAATACATTCAACTGCGAAGAGACTGGATGTGTTAAATTCTTCACTACTCTAAGTGATCTCAAGAAACATATTCGTACTCATACTCAAGAAAGACCTTACAAGTATGTTATTTGATATACAATAGATGTAGAATATTGCATCAGTAATTAATTTAAAAATTGTTGAACCATTGATTCACACTTGACACAGCTATGAAATAGTGGAGTTAAACACATTCATATACTTTCATACCACACTATAGTCAGTTAACCATGTAAAATGCACTGTACATACTGTACAGAGTTACATAAATTTCTTTTCAGATGTCGAGAAAAAGGATGTGGTAAGGCTTTTACAGCATCGCATCATTTAAAAACGCATAAAAGAACACATACAGGAGAACGACCGTATGTGTGTACTTATGAAAATTGTAAACGATCCTTTACAACACCTCATAGCTTAAAAAGTCATTTAAAAACTCATAAAAGAATCAATAATGAGGAAATGGTGTGTATTATAATTATAGGAAACGTTTCGAAGTATCGAGTACCTCATCATGTTGCATTGTTTTATTATAGAAACAGGAAGGAAATCAAGATGACAGTGGAAACCAAAGAAATAGCGATGTACTAAAATCGGATATTGATGTTACTGAAATAACTTCTAAGAATTCAAATGTGCCATCTTATTCTGTTATTCCAATATCCTCCAGTAGTTCACAAATTAACGGAAGTGTAAGTTACTTATCCACAAAGAATGTAAATGATCATACTACATCTACAAATAATATGATGGACATTTTAAGTCAAAAAGGACTTAATAAAGACCTCGACTATAATATTAATGTTAAAGGGATAGATAATCCAAATGAAACTGCAACAGTTACTATCCTTACATCAGACAATATTATTTTAAATAATTTCAATCAACATGCGATCGATAATTTTAATAATAACGGGAGTTATGACAAGTATAAAATATTCACAGAAATAAATAATTCGAGTTTACCGCAGGATCAAACTCAACAGTACGCATCGGATTCCTCAACGATTGAAATTCAAGACAATAAGGCGAATAATGTAAAAACCACTAATTCCATAAATTTAGAGCAAAAGATTATACAGGACGGTTTGCAAAACGCCATTGCTCATATATCGGAAGGAACAGATTTTACTACTGATGTACAATATGAGAATCAGAGAATAAGTGATGCATCAAATGTAGAACCGGTTACTGACGATAGGAACACAATATTGTTTAGTGATAGTTCTATTACTAGTCATGTATCAAATATAATTAGTTCCTCTAACGAGACTCAGCTTTTCAATAGCGGAGTAGAAAACTTATCATTTATTAATAATACCTTACAAACTGAAACTTCTAACGAAGTCGATCAACCATTAAATTCGAAATGTACTCCGACCACACCTTCTGAAGCTATAGAATTAGCAATAGCATCTGAAGAGGAAATACCTTCTCCTTGGATAGATGTTATGGCCTTGGCGACTTCATCCACATTAAGGAGACAGTCTTGGTCGGAACTGAATGCTTTTCCAACCGCAGTTCATTCACTAGTCGATTTAGTTGAACCAGAACCTTATCCATTGCAAGTAGAGAATCAGTTAGAATCGTTACAACATTTGGATAACGTTAATTTAGTAGGTGTGGAAGGTATAACAGAAACTGTTCATCGTAACGAGAGTGTCGGTAATAGACAAGAAAATAGTACAAAGCTGAAAAAGAGCAGGAACGTTTTGCAAGAGATTACCGCCGATGCGGACATATGCAAATGTACTGATTGCAAATGCGATCATCTACGAAATTGCCACAATTGCTCAAGTAACGTACCGACAGGAATTAATAAGAAGAATGCATTCAAAGCAGTCGACGATATCACGACTTGCTTGCAAACTGAATGTTTGTGTGACAATGAACCTGGTGGTTGTGGCTCTTGCTGTGTTGTTATTTGCTTAAAAACATTACAACAATTACAAAAAGTATTTAGTAATTGTTGCAAGAGTACTAGCAATATAACTTGTAGGGAAAAATTGTTACCATCGTTAATGAAATGTCAATTAACAAAAAATCAATGAAACGAATGGTTTATTGTACAACTAGTCATGCCAAAAGAAACATATATTTTGCATAAACATTCAGCGCGGGATTCATTATTTATCGTGATGTATAGATTAGTCCGCTTAGCTTTAAATGCGATTTTTCTTCTAAATGTTAAATTTGAAACGTATTGTGTAGGACAAATTGAGAGTATGGGATTGTATATACATACCTGTACCATATTTCAAGAGACTTTAATTATGTAGATGCAATATGTAAATGTTATGATACATTTTCTCGCGTGCCAACACATTTGTAAATTTTTTACTTAAAATGTTTTAAGTCTTCAACATTGCTGTTGCATAGTTGATAAAAATAAAAGGCTTTATTGCTTTACCACACTGAACAATAGGAAAGGATATTCGAAACTGAGCGCGGTGGTGTAAGACGAAATAAGTGTCCTTTGCCTCAAAAAATCTACTTTAAAGTCTGTGTACATTATACAAATGTTATATCAAATTTGATACTTCGACGTTTTATAGATTGGTATAATATATTTTTAATGTACAAATATTATGTACATAACATTTTTTTTTTATATATACAGTAACGGTTATAAAAACTATTGAAATTATAAACTTTTATAATGCAATGATATTCGTTAACTTATATGCTATTTATGTAAACAAAAAAGCATCGTTGATGTGTGTGTAGTGTACTAAATATTTTAGTATTAGTTTAAAACAGAGAGTATCATATTTATTATGTCTTCTAGTGCACAATGTTCTGATAATTGAAAATGAAGCCATGCAACTATTTAAGAATATTTAATTTCAAGAGAGTATTGCATAAAAAGTATGAAATAAAATTAAGCAATACTCAATCCTCTGAATATTTATAAATATAAATCAGGGTAATAGAATGAAACAAATTTTAACATATTCAAATAATTTTTTGTGGCTGTTACACATAATGTACTTGGAAACACAACAAAATCACTGTACCTAAATAGTTTTATAAAGAAAATAAAATTTTATTGTTATTCTTTAAATAAAATTCAACTAACACAATAAATTATAATACAAAGATATGTAATGTTATTACTTTTTTTTTCTATGATGAAGTTAATATGTACATACTTAGTGATATATTTTTATTACTATATTTTTATACAATACCGTGACAGAAGTGTGTTGAATATATCTCCTAAGGTTTAACAGAGAAATTTTTTACATTTACAGAACTTTTATGTAATGTTTATTGCGAAGCTTGTACCAGAGCTTCTGCAACTTCAATTGCAATGGCTGCTTCAGCTTTATCTTTCTCAGAAGATGCAGATGAAAGTTGCTGTTGAGCTTTACTGAGAAGGTCTCTAGCTGCTGCAGAATCAAGATCTTCTACAGGATGAGCTTCTTCTGCTAAAATCTATAGGAATAGATTCATTAAGTATTTACTTAGTTTTTTACTTTTATAGTACACTAAATAAGAACCTTACCTGTACACTACTGTCTTCGTTTATAGTGACTGTTCCAGAAGAAACAAATACTTTCTTAGTTGTTCCGCTTTCTTCATATACTGTAACTACTCCAGGTTTTAATACAGCTAATGTAGGTACATGCTTTGGTAAAATACCAAAGGATCCAGAAAAGGATGGTACATCAACTTGTCTGACCGCAACTTGGTCATAAAATACCTACAATTATAGCATATAAAATTATGTAATCTTATATTTCAATGAAATTTCATACTCATACTTAGACACAATTATTTCTACCTGATTAGCTCCAGCTAAGGTGAACTTCATCTGATTACTGCTACCAGGAGCAGCATCAGCATAAGTTCTTCGACCGCGAACGTATCTCAGATAGGGGCGTAAGCTACGAGCGAGTGTAGCCATTTTAATGTCCTACATCAAACAAATTGTTCAAAACACTTTTAAGTTTAATTAAATTCAAATGATAGACAGAGCTGATTACATCATAAGATCGGCATACATGCAAAAACCATCTATTACAACTATGGACGTTAAAGAAATTACATATATAAATGATCTCACGTTAGTTTTATCTCAATTGTCGGTTCAATAAACTTACCGTTTATTTAACTAATTATATTAAACTGCAATTAAATTGTAGCGAGTATTACAAATATAAGTAGACAGTCTCGAACCCTTCGTAGCAGTCAGAGGAAGTCAAATATAAGTATAACAACCGTGCTAGCTTTCACAGGCAATGAGAAAGTTTCTATTTTACTAGCTAGATGGTGTTACAAAATTTTGCACTAATACTCATGTATTTAACATCAGAAGGGTAAGGAACAAATAATATACCTTGACAACTGATTTTACAAACAATTCAATTGAAAATAAATCGAGATATTAGTAAAAAGATGAATTTACTTTTGTGTGTAATAATTGTTAGTGTGACGCTCATGAAATTCCCTAGTAGACCGAGAAACAAATAGATTAAAATTCGCACACATTTAAATCCGGCATAATGTTGTAGCTTCAAAGAAATGGACTTAAATTTAGGGATATAGGTAGATACAAATTCATGATGGAGAGTTACCATTGTTGAGTTGTCTGTACGGATCTTAAATTTATGATTTATGTCTATGTTCCGATAGTGTATAAGAAAATTTAAGTACTAATTAAAAATATTACAATCGTAGGTATTAATATATAATATTGGTTCAATGAATTTTAGTTTTCTTTCTTAATGTGATTGTTTTCTTTCTGAATATAACTTCCTCTATTTCATTTTCATTATTTGATTTCGTATTCAATTAATGCGAATTTTAATGTAAAATTTATTAATCGATTAAACACTTTAAACAACTTAACTTTAATTTGTATATAACATTTTTATTCATTCAAATTTAAATATATACTTAAATGATTCCAAATTCGTTGACTATATAAATGAATATACTTTATGTGAAATAATAGTCAATGTTGTTAGCACTTAATATTTTTTTAAATATATATTGGCAATTGTATTTTTATTTACACAGTATTGGTAGTACTACATATCCAAATTTTCCATCTTTAGTTGAAATATAAGTTTAAAAAGTTGTTTTTCTTTGTGTATGTAAACAATTATTAAAATTTTTCCAACTAATATTTAATAAATGTTTCATCTTTTTAATAAATTTCTATTTACAAATTCTTTTTATACTTTCAGGGATATAATACATCATACATCTATTATTAATAAAAATATTACATCATATTGCTTTTTTTATACATGTGAAGAAGATAAAACCTTTGTTTGAACTCTCTATTAGTGTAAATCAAATACTAAGAAAACATGGAAAGTATAAATATGACAGATGAACAAAAGAAATTCCTGGAGGAATGTGAAAATGAATTCAAAGACCGCTATACAGAAAAAGATAATGAATTCATGAAAATCAAAAATATGGAACGGAAAAGTCCACCAATTATGGATCCTTGGTATAATAAAGCACGCAGGTCACATGATTCTTGGAACCAAAATCAAAGGAGGCGTTATAATGACAGACATTCTGATAGAAAACAATATCATCATAATAGAATGTACTCACCACATGTACCTTTTAGCTGAATAATATTAATTTGTAATTAAAATAAGAATAAGAATTGATGTTTTTGTTATCTGCCTTTACAATTATTAATTACGCATTTGTAATCGAAATTGTCTAACTATGAAGAAATTTGTAATTAAAATAAGAATAAGAATTGATGTTTTTATTATCTGCCTTTACAATTATTAATTACTCATTTGTAATCGAAATTATCTAACCATGAAGAAAATTGTTATGTATCAATTACGAACAAACAAACGATAAATATGTATGTAGGTGCCTACAGATGAAGTAGGCTTTTTATAAAGTAGTAGGTATAAATATACAGGATTGTATAATAACACTTCTGCAGTTGTGTGAATAACACATGTCTACCAAATGAGAGAATCAGCTGTTATGTTATAGACATAAAATACATGTTTCCTTTGTCTTCGTTAGGTGTTTTATGATTAAATTCGATTGAACAAAGACAAAAGACGATTGCACACACATTAGTACTAGTGGCATTATCCCAACCTGTATACCCTTAGATCTGAACAAAGGTTGCCAGCATAACGAAGCGACGGCCATTTAACGTGAGACTGATATTCTTAAGCGAATAAATAAAGAAGTGCACAGTTTATGATAATAATCTACGTCAATCGAGGATTGTATTCATGTGTAATAATTAATAAGTGTAACGTTCCTTATATTAGAGACGGTGCGATCACACCTACAAGAGCATGAGACAGATAAATACAGTAAATATTTATAATGACTTAGTTTAAGCGCTTTTTAAATTAACGAACGAAATTCAGAGGGAGAGTGCGATATATACATTCAAATGAGACATGCGTGTGCGCGTATTTTTAAAGATATTTATCAGCTTATACAGTGCTGGGTTCTGATAAAGTTCGTTTACAACACATTTGACGAGTTCATTTACAAATTGTTGGGACGTCCTTATAAAAAAGGTTTCGTTGTAACATATTTTTTAGATGGTGAGTGTAAATCCACAATTTTTTATACTTTTATTTCTATAAAGTTTTTGGAAAAGTTGACTCAAGATTGATGGATATTTTGTCACATAATATTACTCATATGTAATCACTTATTATTTGACAGTGATGATTTCTACTCAATTTTTTAAAAATATATATTGAAAAAGAAATCAAAATACACGTTTATGTCATTAAAATGAAATAAAGTAGATATACTCTTAGTTTGAATCATAAGACATAATTACAGTAAGAATAAATTACATTATAAAATATGTATATATTTGAAATTTATTTATGTTGTACTATATTAAAAGTTGTCTTTCATTCTTGTTTGTTCCAGATTTATTGCGTTGTTATTAAAATTTATAATAGAAATTAATAATATATTAAAATTTTTAATCAAAATATATAGAATATATTTTATTATACAATACAGGCTTCATATGATAATCTTTAATGGATTACTTCAAGAAATTATGTGGTAAAAGGTAAGATGGAATAACAAAATATTACAAGTATAAGTTCTTTAAATTGTGAAATAGTGACATATTGTCATTAATATTATTATTATTATTAATTTTAAAGCACCACTATTCCCACTGGTGATGATCTAGAAACTGTTGCTGAAAGAAAGGAACGATGGAGGAGTATCTATGTCATTTATTTTACTATGTTTCTTATGTCCCTTGGATTTAGTATTATATTAACAGGTGTATGGCCATACCTTAAGAAAGTAAGTGTATGTAATAAAGATATAGTAAACTTATATTATGATATGTAATGGTATATTAACTTTGCAGTTGGACAAGAAAGCAAACAAAGAATTTATGGGATATGTTGTTGCAGCTAATCCTTTGGCACAAATGCTCTTTTCCCCTTTAGTAGGATGGTGGGGAGACAAAAGGGGTTCTATAAGATTACCTCTGTTATTGACATTATTTCTTTTTATATATGCATCAGGAATGTATAGTGTTCTTGAAATCTTACCAGCAAATCGAAAAATGCTCATGGTAGTTGCTAGATTCTTGGTCGGAGTTAGTTCTGGTTAATATTTTACTTAGTTCTAACTTGTAATTTTTATATACATTATATGTTATAATTACATTACAGAAGTTATGGATTGTTATATTCAATAATATTATGTTTAAGACTGCCATGCTATAGTGAAAAATAATTTTAATTTAGTTGGTGGTCTCTAATGCAGCTTTCATTTTAATAATTCATCATTATTTCATTTCCAGCGAATATTGCTGTAGCAAGATCTTACCTTTCTGCAGCTACAACAGTTGTAGAAAGAACTCATGCAGTTTCTATGGTATCTCTTGCACAGGTAATGTAACTTAACATTTCATTTTGGTATTATTTTATAAGGTTGTAATTTATTTCACAATTTATTAGGTACTGGGATTTGTGGTAGGTCCTGGATTACAAGCAGCAGTCACACCTCTTGGAGAGCATGGTTTTTATTTTAGCAATTTACCAGTTAATATGTATACTATGCCTGGTTGGATAAATGTTTTAATGGGAATTCTTAATTTTGTTATGTTTCTACCATGGATTTTCAAGGAACGTAGGATTGCTATACGTGAAGCTATGAGAAATCAGGGAAAAGTATCAGGTAAAAATTATTCAATATATATGTTGAAATTATTCAATATAGTTGATAGTAGAAATAGACTTTTATCGACTAACTGTATGGTTGTTGTATAAATCACAGAAGAGGAAACATTGAAGTCTATAAAGCCTGATTATCTAGCAAATTGGACATTAATTTGTGCTTTTTTTGTCTTGGTATTTAATTTCGTCCTTCTTGAAACGTCAGTATAATAATCTCATTGATTTACATTCATTATACTTCTATGTTGTGTTGAATATTTTTTTGCCTTCTTCTTAGTTTGGGTACTTCATTAACCATGGAACAATTTGGTTGGTCAGAGAAAGAAGCTTTGTATTATATGGGTCTGTTAATGAGTATTGGTGCTATTGTATCTTGTATTAGTTTTGTTATGATCGAACCGCTATGTAAAAGGTACGAATATTTTATGGAAACAAACTTTCTAAACAACACATTTTATCTATTATTTAAACGTTATTAGATTCAATGAACGCAAGGTGATGTTATGGGGTGGATTTTTCTTCATGATAATTGGAAGAATATTGTACATCCCATGGGGACCTGGTCCTCCGCCGATTAAGTACGACCAGCGTAAGTATATTTGGAATTTGAAATGAGATTTCTGTATAACGAGCTTTTATAAAAATGTGACAAATTTTTATGGATGTTATAGCATTTGATAATGGTACAACAAATGTCAATGCTACAGAAGCTGTAGGGTGTCCTAGTACTCAAGAGTGGTGTTTTTATACACCTCATGTCACGGTTACACAATTTTTAATTGGCTATGGTTTCACTACTATAGGCTATCCATTAGGAGTTACGTTAATACAAACAATCTTTAGTAAAGTATTAGGACCACGACCACAAGGTGTTTGGATGGGTTTTATGACAGGCGCTGGATGTGCATCCCGTGTTTTAGGTCCAGTATTTGTTAGTGTAATTTATACTCGTTTTGGAACATACCATACGTTTGGTGTTACCGGTTTAATGCTCATATTATGTATGTTATGGCTACGGATTGTCGATAAGCGTTTAATACCTTCTAAAAATCCTACAAAAGACCAAACAAAACCTGATGCTGAAATTCCATTAGTTAGTCTTAAACTTAATGATAGTCAAGCAACAAATGATATTGAAAGGAATAATGCAAGTGCAGAATGTGATAAGGTGCAGCCATAGTTTTTTGTGCAATTTTATCTTTTTTTGTAATATTACGTAATTATACTTGGTTGCAATTGATCGTTGAAAATGTATTGATATTACAAAATGCAACTATATTTTTTATGAACATTTACACGTTTTTCGTACATGTTTCACATTCATAAATATGTAAATAAGTTGCTAATAAATACATGTATAGGGAATGGAGAATTATGGGGGAGGACGGTGAAGATCTTAGGTAAATGTAGACAAATTGTTATAGGAATAAAATTTTGTTTACTATTAATA